AAGTATGATAGCTGTGCACATAGTCACAGTTGAGGGCAAGGGTGGATACAGTTAAACTATAGCTGCCATCCCTAACTGCATTCTTTGGGGTTTACCAAAGAAACCCTATGGTGCAGAGTTCAAAGGCATTGTATTCTGCATCCTCTTTCTTTCCATCTCAAACTATCTTATTGTGCACAAAGTCCATAACCAGTTAGGCACGGTGGCTATGCCTGCAATCCTAGTACTCAAAGAAATGAGGCAGGAAAACCATGGGTTTGAGGTAAGCCTAGACTTTATGATGTGACACCACCTTAAAATAAAATGATAAACAAGGAACAAGAATTACTAAACACACACACACACACACACACACACACACACCTACTTCCCACTTAACTAAATGCTGAAGGTTATCCATGCAATTCAGTTATTAGTTGTGCCATTTGCTGACTTGCAGGTACAGCAAGGCTGGTCTCAAGGTGATGAGAAGTAGGCTGGATACTGAGGGAAAGAGAAAGACACAGTAATGATGCTGTTTTTTTGGGGTGCTGTCCTTCGGCCTATTATCCATTCTCTTTTATCATATTTTTTAAAGATGTATTATTTATGTGTGCGTGGCTGTGCAAGTTTATGTGTACTACGTTCATGTAAATGCTCACTGAAGCCAAAGGGTACTGGATCTCCCAGAACTGGAGTTATAGTGAGAAGCATGATATGGGTAAAGAGAACTGAACTAGATCCTCTGCAAGGGTAGTAACATCTCTCCAGCCTCTTTTATGTGTATGCTATTTTTATTAAAGACCAGGCTTCTCAGCAGTGAAATAAACATTTAATTCAATCCAATTTCACCCATGTCAAAGGAACCATGATGATGCAAGTCTCCTGGGTTTTGTGCCTACCTGGATCTGAGCTGAGGAGGCTGAGATATGGGGATGGGGAATTCGTCTTCAAATATTGTAGTGATGAGGCAAGCAGGCCTGCTTTTCGACCCACCCGGCTCCCACACGGCTAGCTTTACACTCGAAATAACAACACACAAATTGTATTCATTTAAACACTGCCTGGCCCATTGGCTCTAGTTTCTTACTGGCTAACTCTCACAACTTGATTAACCCATCTCTAATATTCTGTGAAGCACCATGAGGTAATGGCTTACTGGGAAAGATTCAGCATGTCTGACCTGGCGGCTGGCTCCATGGTGTTTGCCTGACTCTGCTTCTTTCTCCCAGCATTCTGTTCTGTCTACTCTGTCTATCTAAGCTGCTGTCCTATCAAAGGCCAAGGCAGTTTCTTTATTAACCAATGAAAGTAACACATAGACAGATGACCCTCCTACATCAAGATATATTTATATGAGGCAGAGGAAGACTGGGCAGACAGGAGAACCCACTTGATGGTGGAGACAAAGGCTTCAGAGACATAGCTATAGGCAGAGTTGCCAGTAGCCACCAGAAGTAGAAAGGCTATAAGGATACTGTGCCAGTATCCCCCATGGGAACAGGACCCTGCAGACACAAGACTTCAGTCTAATGGTACTCACTTCAGACACTTGCCTCCTGAACTGTGACTAACTTACAAAAAGCCTCTAATGTTGGGGTACTTTATCATAGCAATTACAAGACACTAATATGACCACCTCTACCCTCTATCCCAGCCTAATTCTTTAGAGGAACAACTACTCAAACCACAAGGTGGGCAAACTTAGATGTCTAGGCATGTGTTCAAAGTGAAGTGATATTTAAGAGATGCATAACTAAGTAACTTTTCCACTTGCAAAGATGCAGAAATTTGTTTAAACTCCACCTAAAAGTGCCTCCCCCAGTTTGCAAGAAGAATGTGTTTGTTTAGCACAAGAAATTCAGACAGAATTTTATTACACCACAGCATTATACAGCATTGTAACCCAGTTTCTGAGGGAAAACTCTAGCCACGGGGAGCAACTGAGCCAGGACACAGCCCTCGCAACGAGCCCAAAGGTCTGGGAACACCCATGTTACTAGGCAGTCTCAACACCAAAGTAACATTCATGCTAGGGAAGTAAAGGGCCTTCAAACAGTCAGAAAGAGATGGCACAGATGTTAGAGACGCAGCTGAAGCATAAAGAAGGAGGCTGTGGTTTGATCATGAGAGAGAATGCAGGTCTACTATGTAGAGGGAGCAGGGAGCTGGTAAGGCATACTTGGAAAGGGGTGGTGAGCACTGGTCTAGGACAAGCAGAAAGTCGAGCAGCCATGCCTGGGGTTACTGAGGCAGCAGACCACTGGATGCCATGGGAGAGTGTATCTGAGTACAAGTTGATAAGACATGCATTTAAAAGGATGCATTCAGCTAAAAACAATACACTGGGGGAAGGAGAATCAGAAATAGGTCAAGTAGCTTCAGACTGACCAGAGTTGGGACTGGAACCCAGGAAGAGAAGAGTTAGAGTTAGTGAGGAAAGACCTGAGGGATAGTTGAGAGGTAACCTGATAAGACCTAGCGATAGCTGAAGGCAGAAACTGAAAAGTAATCCCAAGTTCCCAATTGGGTAGTAGAGCAGGCAGCAGCCCTTTTAAATAGGACAGAACAAATAAATTCAGCTCAGAATCCCCTTCATGGACTCCAGCCTGTGAAACCCATGGGTAGGGGTCATTCAAGTGGTACCTCCTAATGAGGTGGTTAAGTAAACAATGTGTGTAAACACGTACACGGAGGCAGAGCTAGAGATCCTAGTTAGTGCTTATCAAGGGGTAGAACCATGATGGACTTCTACTTCTACTTCAGTCCAGAGGCAGGCATATGGGAAACAAATCCAATGGTACATACAGGAAGTAACAGTCAAACCCTACAAAAGACACTAATGAGCACAAAGGTGTAGCGTCAATCCCAGAACAAAGTTGAAGTGATTGCAGGAGGGCAGAAGTGGCAGCATCCCAGAGCAATTACAGATGACAGGACAGGGTAGACGGTACAGCTTAGTTCCAGTGGAGGAAGCAATACACCTGAAGCTCAGAGGTGAGCTGAGAGGAGAGACAAGCAAGGCTTGCCTGCATCAATATGGGCCAAACTAGGATGAAGTTCAACTCTCACCTAAAAGCAATGGAGAACCTACTGTTAACACTGGAGCAAAAGAACATTTTAAAAGACTTGTTTGGTTGCAAATTCAGGGTGGAGTAAAACCTGGAGGCTGCAAGAACAGTTATAAAGTGTGTGTGTGTGTGCGCGCACGCGCGTGCGTGTCACAGGGGGCAGTGCTTAAAGCGACTGTCTGTCATTGGATGTCAGAGCATCTTCCCTGCCACGGATGAAGTGGCACGGAGTAAATGTAACAGGACAGGCAAGGCCACAACCCTCAGAAATCCAAAGTGTAGGGATGGGCACGGGGCAGAGGAAACAGCACAGAAGGCCAATAATGTGCAAGTCAGGGGCAGGAAACTCAGGGCAAAGTGACATAGCTGCTGCCATTGGGTCCAAAGAAGGAACAGATAAAATATTAGATGCCAGAGGTCACTTGAAAGAGCCAAAAGTTTCTTTTCTATTTGGGAAAGTTATGTCAGAACTGGCAACCATAGTTGAACATGGAGGCGCCAAGTGTACAGGCAGCAGGCATAGAGACACAGCAAATGAGCTGCAGCTAGCTGGAAAAGAGAGAGAGGCTGCTTTGCACTCCAGATGGTTAAAAACAAACAAACAAAAACAATAAATCTGGCTTTTATCTAGACCTCAGGCTATGCAATGCAATGATGATTTTCTGGCCTGTAAAAAGAGGGGCAATGATGCATGTTAACAGCCTCATCACAAGTGACCTACTAAAAGCCATCTTACAAAACTTCTTGCTTTAACTGCTAAACAGTCCAAAATACAAAGACATTTTTTTAAAAGCCCTTGAATGATTGAAAACTTAAGGGTGAAATTCTAAAGTCTTGAAACTAAAGAAACTAAAATATTCAGAGCTATTTATTTGAAGACTTTTTTTCTCACTTGGATCAACCTGAATGCAAGATTCCTTCTCCCACATATTTCTCACACACTTCATAAAGCTATTTTACTTTGATTCATGTGGCTAAAACCCACCTTCAGAAGTAAATTTGAAAATCACATGCTTCTTGAAATTTAGGACACCCAATTTAAGATCTAGGCATTTTTAAGGTCTGTTTTAGAAATGTCTCTTGGTGAGACTGTCTGTTGCTATGTTCCAGTCTCTAGAGAACTGTCCTGCTGTCCTGTGGCCGGAACTCCCTTTCTTCACAGCAGTGATTTTTGCAGTTTGGCATTTGTTACCCAGCTGTCTGGTTTTGGCTGAATACAATGTCATCTGACAATGGAACTGTAATTTTCATACAAAGAAGCTAAAAGAGAATTGGTGTTGCCGAAAAAGAGTTGTGTGGGTGTTCTCTCTCTCTCTCTCTCTCTCTCTCTCTCTCTCTCTCTCTCTCTCTC